TTTTTTCCTTCTGTAATGCAAGTGCCTGACTGGGGTTTTGATTGCTAAGCATCCATTTCAAAGAGACATCTACATCAAAGCTACTACCTTTTTTGTTTGTTTGTTTTCCTTATTCATAATAACTCTGTTCTTTATTACCTTTGAGTTCTCTCTTTTTAGTTTTCTTCCCAGGACAATCTTGTTCAAATTTGGCCCTGAGAATTATGCTTACATGCAGGAGCTCTTGTTAAAGGATTGTTTAGGCAGCTGTTAAATATCCTTCATGGTTTTTTTTTTATTATTATATTCAGTTAGCCACTGTATAGTACATCATTAGTTTTTGATGTAGTGTTCAATGATTAATTACGTATAACACCCAGTGCTCATCACAGCACGTGCCCTCCTCAATACCCATCCCCCTGTTACCCCCTCCCCCGAAACCCTTCCTCTCTGAAACCCTCAGATTGTTTCCAGGGTCCATAGCCTCTCATAGTTTGTCTCCTTCTCTGATTTCTCCGCCTTTGGATTTCCCTCTCTCCCCCAGACTACTGTCTTTAATAAACACATTGCCAGCCACAAGATGCGGTAAAGAGCCAGCCTTTCCACAGCTGAGGCACCTTTGCTTTAGAGATTTTGATAACTAACCATCTGGGCCACCATTTGTTCATTTTTTTTTCCCTTCTCCCTGTGCTTGAATTCCCACTCTTATCTTCTAAGTTCACCAATAAGGAGTGAGCCCATGAAAGTAGGCCTCTATCCTCAAAACCAATAAAAGCAGAACCCCAGGTACCTGGGGTTTCTCTCTTTACCCTTAACCTTGCTATATAGTTCCAGGTATGTCATGCAATTTCCATGTCTTATAAATAATAAAAAAATAAAATAAATGTATTTATTTTAAATTCTATATTTAATTATTTGAACATCAGTTGATTCAACAACTATAAATATCATATTCATCATTCAGAGACAGAAATTATGACTTGTCATTTGTTGAACTATGGAAATAAATAACTATTTTTATTGAGGTATATTTCTAAATATAAATAAATAATGCTATTTTATTATATATTTTTGAATATTTTCCCAGGGTTGAGAAAAATTTTAAAAGAGTCTCTAGCCTTTTTTCATTTTTTTAGGTTATTAGAAACTCTACATGTCACTTTTTCCCAATTTGTAAAATACTTATGTTTTCTGATATGCAAGATTCTATTTAATTATAAAAGTATGATTTTTTCATACCTAGATGATTGTTAGAAATGATAATTAAATGTATGACTCTTCTAACCTTTTAAGACAGCTGAAATAGTGTCAGTCTCTAATATTTGCTAGGCATATATAATGTATCATACAAGAATCTCTATGGTAACTTCTGAAGAATTATTTTTAAACTGGATAATAAAATCCTTAAAACAATATGTAATAAATTTATTTTCTGTTCTGTGGAAAAATGAAAAATATGTTATAAAAAGGCACATAAAAATCAACATTTTTAAGTTTAAAAAGCATTAATTAAACATGATTATTTTACTTTTATTTACCCAGCTTATGTGATTCTAATGGCAGTTACCTTAGGAACATATTACTAGTAATAGTAGGTTATTAGGGAATTGAATACACGTTGCAGGTCTGCAATGTTGGTTTTTCAATAACTGTAACAAAACTAAAATAGCTAATCACATGTGCGCTATTATAATTTGTTCTCAATTATTTCTGATTTTTTACCAGCTTTATTGAGGTATACCTTAGTGTAAGTTTAAGATGTACAACACGTTCACCTGATACACACATATAATGCAAAATGATTACCACCATTGTGTTAGCTAACACCTCCAACATGTTGTGTAATTATCATTTCTCTTTGTGGTGAGAACATTTAAGATCTGTTCTCTTAGCAACTTTCAAGTATATAATACAGTATTATTAACTATAATACTGTACATTAAATCCCCACAATTTATTCATCTTATTGTTGGAAGTTTGTTCCCATTTCCATAACCCCAGCCCCTGGTAACCACCACTATAGTCTCTGTTTCTATGAGTTCAGCTTTTTTGAATTCTGCATATAAGTGATACCATTCAGTATCGTCTTTTTCTGTCTGCATTATTTCACTTAGCTGAATGCCCTCAATGTCATTGCATGCTGTCTCTTGTGAATAATGTTGCAAATGAATATGGGAGTGCAGATGTCTCTTGGAGATACTGTTTATATTTCCTTTGGATATATAAGGAGAAGTGGGATTGCTGGATCATATGATAGTTCTATTTTAAATTTTTGAGTAATTTCCATACTGCTTTCCATAGTGGCTGGACCAACTTACATTCCCACCAATAGTGCATGAAGATTCATATTTCTCCACATCTTCATCAACAGTTATTATCTCATTTTCATGATGATAGCCAATTTACAGATGTGACATAATATCTAATTGTAGTTTTGATTTGTGTTTCCCTGATGGTTAGTGATATTGAGCGTCTTTTCTTGTACCTGTTGGTCATTTGTATATCTTTGGAAAAATGTCCCTTCAGATCCTTTGCCCATTTTTTATTTGGATTGTTTGAGGATTTTGTTTTGTTTGCTAATGAACTGTATGAGTTCTTCATATATATTTTGAATATTAGCCCCTTCTCAGATAATACGATTTGCAAATATTTTCTCCTATTCTGTAGGCTGCCTTTTCATTTTGTTGATAGTTTCTTTGCTGTGAAGAAACTTTTTAGTTTGATGCAGTCCAACTTAATTATTTTTGCATTTGTTGCTTGTGTTCTTGGCATCTTATCCAGAAAATTGCTGCAAGACCAACATTAAGGAGCTTCTTTGTTCCTTCTTTCACATTAGCTCCTTCCCTAGTTTGCTTCAAAAAGTTTTCTGGTTTCAAGTCTCACTTTTAAATCTTGAATCAATTTCAAGTTCATTTTTGTGAGTGGTGTAGGATGTAAGACAGGGGTTCAATTCATATTTATGCAGTGGCTATCCAGTTTTCTCATCAATATTTATGGAGGAGACTATATTTTCTCCATTGAGTATGCTTGGCTCCTCAGTCAAATATTCGTTAACTATATATGTGGGTGCTTATTTCTGGGCTTTCAGTTCTATTTTATTGGCCTATGTGTCTATTTTTATGTTAGCACCATACTTTTTTAATTACCATAGATTTGTAGCATAGTTTGAAATCAGGGCATGGGATGCCTCTTGCCTTCTTTTAATGTCCTCCAAGAGTCTTACCTGCTCCTCTCCCTGCCTTCTCCCACCCCTCAATCATACAGCTCACAATTCTGTACTCCACTTCAGTCTATCCAAACTTATTCTTTGGTTCCAGTGGTGTGCTGGAACTTCTCTTCTGGAAACCTGAACTTCCACAGAGGCTCTTTCTCATCTGCAGGTGATTGAGTCAATGTTTTCCTGGGGCTCCTCAACCATGACCAAGAGGGGCTGGAGCCAATTGATTGGCCACTTCAAGATACACAGCCAGAATCAAAGTGTGATTGCCTATTACCTGATGCATGAATGGTTGACACTCATTCCAGGGCCCTTTGGTGTATGATGTTGGATTCCACAGATCCCTCAATGGTACCTCTGTTTGTGGATGCATGATGAATTTCTGTTGTTGAGGAAGGGATGTTTATGCTGCCATGATGCTGATCTGACTCAGATTACCACTAGTTTTGATGTTCCTTCTATAGACTACCTTGGACTTTAATAACCAAAAGTTACAGAAGCAAATGCAATTTTAATTTTTACAAAAGTAATTGTAGAAGCTCACATTTTTTATAGCATATTATAGTACATTTTAATTGAATAATTTATAAGTACATGTATATGAAAACATTTTGCATAATATTTTAGAATGCCAAACTGTCTTAAAAAAATGATTATTTTGATTCATATTAATTGCACAAAGCATTATTAATTCCAAAGTCTACTTTGTTGGAATATATTTAAAATGTGCTTTGACACCCATCAAATAAATAATTGACTTATAATTCCTCTCTTCAAAATGTTCATAATCCCCAGCATAAAATATACCAAGTGATATATTTTCAAGTGGTCATTTTAAATTCTATATATTTATATCTTATTTATGGTATAACTTAGTGTATCAATTAGTAATTTATATTAAAACATGTGCTTTGGCTACTTTGATATTAAACTTTAGAGAACATGATGAATAACAAATACACACTTATTTCATAAATGTAAGCAACTGACACAGGACTTAGTCTTTAATTTTTTGCTTTAACTACCTGAATTGAAATATCTTCCTATTTTTTTTGAGATTTTATGTATTTATTTGACAGAGACAGAGACAGGGAGAGCAGGAACACGAGCAGGTGGAGTGGGAGAGGGAGAAGCAGGCTTCCTGCTGAGCAGGGAGCCCGATGTGGGACTCGATCCCAGGACTCTGGGATCATGACCTGAGGCGAAGGCAGCTGCTTAACAACTGAGCCACCCAGGCACCCCGATATCTTCCTATTTTTAACTAACTAATCTGCCCTTAAAAAATGTTTTCATATGTATTTGCTATCAGATAAAATTCAAGGGAGTTTTAACATTTTTGTTATAAATTTTGTTAGATATTGTTTTAATAAGTCACTCTCATTAGAGTTACACTGATTTTTTCACTAAGAATTATTTTACTAAAAAAACTGTATTGAACTTAATTTATTTAGAACCATGCAATTCCAATACAAGTTTATGTCTTATTTTAAATTTACATTTCATTACTTATTCTCCCCCCCACTACCTCCCAATGTGTATATATCCATACACACACACACACACACACACACAAACTGGAGAAAGTGTGATGAAAATATTTAAAGAGAGTTTTTGAGATATTATTCCTCAGGATTTAACTGATATTTCAACGTGCTCACTAAGGAAATAAAGAAACCTTATTTGAAGCCACCATTTGGGCTAAGAGTGACTTTCATTAATAGCACTTTACAAAATTATAGGTCTTTCAGAAAGAGCTAAAATATTGTCCCAAGCCAGTAATGGTCCACCTGATTGTGGATTAAAGTTTTTGTCCAGTACTCAATAAAGTACAGTATGTTTTATGTCCTGTCTACTCCACTTATTCACCTGCAGTTTTACAAGGAGAATCGTAATTGGATAAAATTATCTAATGGTTTATGCAGGAGGATAAATGCCCACGAATATTTCGAAAATGTTCAAAAAGAATAGTGAGAAATGGATTATTTTACAGTATGGCAGAAGACTTTTAAAGCCTCATTGTTTAAAAAAAGTAATGTTGTTTTATAAAATATAGACAAATAAACCAGTAGACAGAATAAAAAATATCCAGCTGTAGGTCCTAGTGTATATCAGATTTTAATTTAGAAGACAAAGTTATTTCAGTTCAGATGAAAATCAAGAATGTATACAAAAAATTGTACTAGAATGATGAGTAAAGCACATAGAAGAAAGTAAGCTAACACTTTCCTGTTATATCATAAATTAACTAAAACTTTACCCATATTAAAAAAACAAATGTTAGAATCTAAAACAATGTTAATGCCACAAAAATTATTGGTTACTAGCAGATAATATAGTAAATTAGAATACATGGGTGGGAAAGAAATAGGATAGGAAACTAAGAAGCAATGTATAAAACTTTAGGCTTAATAAGCCTAGACTGCATAAAGTCTACAGTTTTTATTTTTTATTTATTTATTTATTTTTAAGATTTTATTTATTTATTTGACAGAGAGAGAGACAGCAAGAGAGGGAACACAAGCAGGGGGAGTGGGAAAGGGAGAAGCAGGCTTCCTGCTGAGCAGGGAGCCCGATGCAGGGCTCCATCCCAGGACCCTGAGATCATGACCTGAGCCGAAGGCAGTCGCTTAACCAACTGAGCCACCCAGGCGCTCCAAGTCTACAGTTTTTAGAATAATACCCACACATCAAGACTAACTGGTATTCAGAAGATTAATAAGAGAATTAGTGTGTTTAGGGTTAATAAATTAAAATTATGACAAAAGTTTCAAAAGAAGAATTGAAAAAAAGTAGTTAAAAAAGTGTCAGTAAAGATGGGAAGAATAAAAATTCGGTGTCTTCAGCTAGTTAAGTAACAGAAATTTTGCAAATTCCCTCAATCAGCTGTAATGTCTTCCCCCATTATCTCACATTTCTCCAACTCTTACCTTCTGATTTTATTGTTGACTTTATTTTTGTAGTCATTATTCAAGCATTAATGCATTCATGACTAATACACTATTATGTTTATTTTTTACTCCATTTTATGCTTTTTATTTCATTAAGGAAAAATCAAACATGCACAAATACAGAGTAGAATAATGAATTCACACAACAGCTTTAACAGCTGTCAAAGCATAGCCAAAACCATAGCCAATCTTATTTCCTTTATATTCCCAATCAATGCTGACACTGAAGAATATTTTGAAGTAAAACCCAGATCTGCTCATTACATCTATACATACTTTATATTTATCTTTAAAGAAATAAAGCCTCTTTAAAAATATCATAATCGTAAAAATGTCATCACAGCTAACATAATGAATAATACCTTAATACTAGCACTCATCGAGGGGGCCCTCACGTGACCTGGAGCTGCAGAGCGACGCAGCCTTCGGTGCAGTCGTCACTCCCGTCTGAGTACCGGCTCCCCGCGGTCCTGCGCCGGGCGGGCTGGCATCAGGCCCGAGGAAAGCGGAGCAGGTTTGCGGGTGTAGGTGTCAAGTGTCGTGGTGGTGCACTCACGGCGAGAATCGGGAGGAGGAGACAGCAAGGATAGGCCCAGGAAAACGAAGAAATGGAGCAGCCCATGCAGAATGGAGAGGAAGACCGCCCTTTGGGAGGGGGAGAAGGCCACCAACCTGCAGGAAATAATAGACGGGGACAGGCTCGCCGACTTGCTCCAAATTTCCGATGGGCCATACCCAATAGGCAGGTCAATGATGGGATGGGTGGAGATGGAGATGATATGGAAATGTTCATGGAGGAGATGAGAGAAATCAGGAGAAAACTTAGGGAGCTGCCGTTGAGGAATTGTCTGCGTATCCTGATGGGGGAGCTCTCTAACCACCATGACCATCATGACGAATTTTGCCTTATGCCTTGACTCCTGCCATTTTCCATGAGATTAATACTGTGATTCAACACTGTTTTCTTTTTCCTTGCATTTTCCTCATATACCTTTACTGATTCGTTTGCTGTGAACCTTATGTAATTTCCATGTGTCAGGTGGGTTCTGTGTTACCAGATTCCAATTGAAGATTGCCTTGGCACCCAGTCTAAGTTTCTGTCAACAGTAGAGTCACCCAGTTGCATGAAAAAGTGTAAAGTTAATAAAGCAATTAAAAAGCAAAAAAAAAAAAAATACTAGCAGTCATCGAGTTAGTTTTCAATTTTTCAACTCTTTCTCTACATATCCCTTTGTCCTTATATCGCTCAAATGTCTTTCACCTTTATGTGAGGAAACTTTCCTGTGGAAAAATATAAAGTGCTTTTATATTCATGCAGCTGGATTCCCAGAAGGAGATCAGAACAGGATTGGAATCAGGGAGAAGTCAGAAAAAAGTACGTGAAGTCTTAATGACTGAAAATTCTCCAAATTCAATGAAAATTATAAACATACATTTTTAGAAATTAGACACACCATAAATAGCATAACCTATGAATATACATATAAAACCCCTGATTTTACAATAAACAAACCAAAATTTAAAAAATAAAGGTGAAATAAATGTATTTCATACATAACAGATCTGATATAATTCATCTGCAGCAGAACTGCACTATAAAAATGTTCTTTTAGCAGAAGGACAATAATACAAATGAAAACATGGATCTAACAAAAGAATTTAGATTGTAAGCAATCTTGCTATGGTCACTTCTTAGGTCAGGAGTGCTTTTTCTAGCTTCTTTGGAATTTTCTACCTAGAAAATCAGATCATTCATAAGAATAGCCTTATTTCTTTAGGCCTAATCTGCATACCTTCTTCCCTTTCTTGTTTTATTTCACCAGCTCGGACTAATTAGTACAATGTGGAAAAAGTGTGCTAAGAAAGGATAAAACTGCCTCATTCTCAATTTAGTGGAAGAATGTTCCATTTCTCACTATTAGGTATGATGTTAGTTGTAGCTTTTTTGATAAGGTTCTCCTTACTTGTGGGATGTACTTAATGACTGCCTTCCAAAAAGTATAGTCTGGAAAGGGTGAAAAAATAATCATTTTATAACGCAGAAATCTGACACTAAATGTGGGTAAGCATATCATCAATAGTGATAGTTGCTAGTTTGTACTCTTGATATGATGTGATTAAAATGGTACTTACTTCTGTGGTATTCCTCTCCTAAATTCATAACTCCAGTGTAATCGAGAGAAAATTATCATAAAGGTCGGAATTGAGAGGCATTCTGCAAAATACCTGACCAGTACTCTTTAAAACTCTCAGGGTCATCAAAAACAAAGGAGTGTCTGAAAAATTGTCATAATCTAGAAGAATCTAAAAATTCATGACAACAAATTATAATATGGGTTCCTGGATGGAATTCTCATTAATAATAATGCATTGGTATTAATTCACTAATTGTAACAAATGTATAATACTAATATAACTTGTTAATGATAGGGGAACCTGGCGGTGAGGCACATGGGAACTCTCTGTATTATATTTGTGTTTGTTTTGTAAATATAAATTTTCTAAAAAATAAAATTTGTTTAAAACTTTTCACAAATTATTTTTAGTCACTAAATGAAATAAGCACCTTACTAATATAAAAACTCAATTGTCATTTTTGACAAATAATGCCAAATTTGAAAATTTTTAATTAAACAATAAAGGATTTATAGAAAAAAGAAAATTATGATAATATTTCTTATAATCAACAAATGTATGTGTTTTTATTTTTGTTGTGTATGGGTTTGTTTGTTTATTTGTTGATTTATGCCTTCCCAATTTAATTTCAGCAGTTTTCAAAGAAGTGAATGATTAAGATACATACACACACATTATAAAATGTTGTATTTCTAAGATCTTTCATTGAAATATAGGGAATATTATCCTTAAAATGTTTTCATTTTCTGTTAAAACACAACATTATGTTTTTTCAATTTGTTGAGCTATGTCATTCAACTTTAAGTATATATTCATTTTATTTAATCACTTAAGTAATATAAGGTTTTTCTAGATACAGTTTTTTGTGAAACTAGAATGTAATATTCAACTATCCCCTGTTGTACATGCAAGTGAAGGAAATTTTATAATAATAAAAGTGAAGCAGGCATGAATAAGTGATCAATTGCCACTGGAGACATTCTTCTGAGACCCTAACCACAAACTTGAGGACTGCTTGTAAAGATGTTACTACTCTGAAATAGTGTGACCTCCTGATATGTTTATAGAACTCTTAGTACAAGGTAATAGCTCTTCACTTTAGAAATGCTGGAAATAATTTGAATTTACACACAGAATGAGCACAGTGTGAAGAATGGGTTAGTCCTAGGCTGGTTTAGAATCCAAGTCATGACTGAAGGTGGACAAAAAGTATGTTAGAAACAATCCAGTTTTCTGCCCAAGATGGAAAGAAAAGTGGATAAAGGATCAAAGATGGAACAGAAATATTAGGACAGAATCCCTAATGTTGACCCTTTGCATAAAATAATGTGATTATTGTGTTAAGTAGTTGATAGGGAGGAAATGATGAGCTGCCAATTTCTCAACTATAGAAGATATAGGGGTGAGGTCATGGGACCATGTGGAATCCAAAAGGAACTAAGGAATACTGAATACAAAGAAATATTTCTAGAGTAATTTAATAAAAAAGACAGTTTGACCTACAGTGAAATAACTAAGAGATTTAGACATGTCCTGGGAAGTATTCCATTTGAGTATTAAAGCCATTCTTTGTCATTTCACCATCTTTCCTGGAAGACATAAGCCCACTGGGTCCTCAGAAGAGGGCAAAAGATGACTCCCATGATTTTTAGAAATATTGAAATACAAGTATTGACAAGACCTCCCATGGGTCTTGATCGTAATCTGTGTTATAGGACATGCCTATATCTAGGGTGAGCACTTTCCAATTTAAGGATGCCAAGAAATTTCCTGGTCTCCTACAATCTTTTTCCCTTTGTACCCAGAGGCATCACTGACCATATATGCTGCAATACATGTAAATCAGAAAGGGAAAATCCCAGATATTCCTAGGCTTCCCAGACCCATTTATCTGAAAAGAGCCTTTAAGCTGTTCCTTTCATCTGAAAGGAGGCTTTAATCTGTTCCTTGTGCTTAATGGAAACCAATTGTCTCCTCAGGGTGGGGAAATGTTTCTCTCACCTAATATTTCAATTGATAGGAGTATTCTTCAAGGCAAAAATCACTTAAAGTGGGATAACCCTGGAAAACTCTATTGAAAAAATAAAAACAAAAAACAAAAAAACATTGCAACCAAGGAGACAAGCTTGGCTCCTGATGCTTTTGCCAAATCCATAATACACGTATATTCACCCAGTAGTAAAAGATATGCCCCTGCTAAAATCTTCACTTAAACTTTTTAAAAAAGATTTTATTTATTTATTTGACAGAGAGAAACAGAGAGAGAGAGAGAGGGAACACAAACAGGGGGAGTGGGAGAAGGCGAAGCAGGCTTCCTGCTGAGCAGGGAGCCCGACGTGGGGCTCCATCCCAGAACCCTGGGATCACGACCAGAGCCAAAAGCAGACACTTAATGACTGAGCCACCCAGGCGCCCCTCTTCATTTAAACTTAAAGGGGTTCTAACTTAAAGAGGTTCTTACCTACAAGAGTTGCTATCTGAAAAAAAAAATAAGGTACCCTTCTTGTTCAAAACAAATTTCAACAGAGTGCTTTAACACTCCATCAAAATAATAATATAGCATTGTTGGTGTTTTGTATTGGTTATTTCTATGTAATAAGCTGAATTCTGGCTATAGCATGCCATCCATAGATCAACTAAATTATATATTAATCATGGGCCATTGCCAATGGTGATCCAGTCAGTCTCGGTCAGTCTCGAGGTGACCCAAAATAGGATTGTTAAAAGCACTATCATATGGATCATGCCTTATAAAAGAAAGTGCAATAACCAAATTACAAACTAGAGCTGATATTACATATATATACTCTGAAAACTGGACTATAACATAGAAAACAGCATCTGGGATATATTTGGGATTGCACATTCATGCCATTGATGATGCAAATGTCAATGGACAAAACCAATATGGTTACAAAAGTAACAAGAAATTCTTGGATATCCAGAAAAAAAAATTACTGGACACATGGGGATCTAATGACACTTGTAGAGCTTTGCCTTTGCCATATAGCTCAAGGTGAGTTGGGCATTGTACCAAATAAATCTAGACCAGCTTACCATTTATAGATATATTTTTTCAACTCTCTACCACTGTTATTATGGGATCTATAGAATGGTTTCAGAATATGAAAGTGCTGTTTTCTTAGCTGGATGAATATCAAGGCACTGAATGACAACCTCACTATATGCGCTCCATGTGATGTACACAGATTTGATATGATCTAAAAATTGGACTCTCTTCCAAGGTACTGTCAATCCCAACATAGGATTTTCTAAGTACACCATGACAATTACACCCAAAATGGGAAGTATCAGTAAGTACAGAAGTGGTTAATCCAAGGAGCCAAACTTTCTAACAAAAACTTTACAAGATGAATATAGACATAAGCTGCAAGGGCCTCGCTACCTGGTGAAGCTCATAGATAACCAAGAATTTGAGAATGGAAAATAAAAAGGGAAGCCCATTTGATGTAATAGAACTTAGAGTGTCTAAACACCAACAATATTCTCATTTTTCTTTCTTTCCCACACTGATCCTGGCTAAAATGTGATGCTAGCAAGGTTGACTGGATGCACACAACTTTGGATTTTTCCTTTTTAATTTCACAATATCTGCTGTCCATCTATACTGAAAGGATAACTCTGATTTTATTATTGTCACCAGTGATTCTATGGTTCTTCCATATACCCCATGATAGATCTCTTCTTTTTCTTTAGGGGTCACCTTTAGTGAGAAAATGGTAAATCCCTTTTCAATTTTTCTAGGTTAAAGCTCATTCTTCTAGGAAAATGATCATCTGGCTCCTCTGGGAAGTAGATGACAGATTTAACTAGTGAGATGGAGGGCACTTGTGACCTTCACATACAGTTTCAAGCAGGCAACCTCAATAACCTCCTGTGATTGTCCCAGCGGTGGCAGAGAATACCATCATTCTGCCAGATTTGTCTTCATTAAGTGAATACAGTGGTGAAAAACTTCATTATCATCCCACTGCCAGAACTGACTTATGAACTAATA